CAATGAATCATCTCCCCCACCCCCATTATGTTAACTGTCCCTTCAGTGGCTGCACTGATTTCTTGGACTAATGTAACCAAGTCTGTTCCTTGTACTTAAACGGCTGAGCAAAATATCTGGAAGACTAGCTACAGATTCCAAGAAATGATAGCATCCTGCTTCAAAACATGGACTTCCACCCCCCAAAGCTGGCGGGAAGACGCATCATCTTGTTTTATGCTGATGATGCTGCTGTACTTTCTAGAACACCCACTGGGCTCAAAAGAGCTCCAAGAGCATTAATACAACATTACAACACAGATCAGCTCCAACTTAATTACTAGGCTTGGGTGATCAATGAAAGAAATGTTTTTAAACTCGTTTCGGATCTAAAGTCAATTCTGATTTTCAATGGAAAAAAAGTTCAAAACTTTTCAAAACATCCGATACTTCCGAATCCTTCGTTAATGGTTTGACAGTATTATTTCCAGTTTCACTGGGTGGTCTTTACTTTGAAAGTAGTTGTTTTACTCCAGAAAGGGGGGAGGGGGTGGCAAAGGGAGGAAATTCATCCACTCTGGTTTAAAACGGCATGCTGCTCCTGCTAATCACAGGGAGAAGGAGATGGAAGAGACAGAGAGAGAGAGGGAGAGGAGGGGGGAATTCTCTATTGAAAATGCTTCTCGATAATAATAACAACAACAACAACAACCCCCCTTCTGCCTTCATACAGGGAATGCACAATTAAAGCCCCCCTGAGAGATGGCCATCCATTCTTAATAATAATAATAATAATAATAATAATAATAATAATAATAATAATAATAGTTTTAACCTCAGAGAAGGAGATGGGGGGGGGAATTCTCTATTCCGGTTTGACAATGCTTCTCAATAATAATAATAATAATAATAATAATAATAATAATAATAATAATGGCAAACCCCCTTCTGCCTTCATGCAGGGAATGCAAAATTAAAGCACCCCTGACAGATGGCCATCCATTCTTAATAATAATAATAATAATAATAATAATAATAGTTTTAACCTCCTGGCCCAGAAAGTTTAGGCAGGCAGGAAGGCAGGCAGGTCTCTGTGAGTGCTGCATCCGCTGTGTCCTCCTTGCCCAGTGCAAGCCAGAGTGAGGAAAGAGGCCAAAGGCTGCCTTCGGGAGCAGCGAGCGAAGCATGAGGAAGGAGGCGGGAAGCAGCAGAGGGCACACTCGCCAACTGCTTCACTCAGCCAGAGGTTTCCCAACGCTGGGAGAGAGGTTCCCCTTGTTGTCAAGCCACAGGGGAAAGGTGACCGGCAGGAGGAGAGAGAGAGGAAATTCATCCGCTTAAGCTGAGGCCAGGGACCGGAAGTGGGGTAAACGCCAACTCACTTACTGATTCGTAAGAGAAATGGCAGAAAAAACTTCGGAAGGCAAAGGGACTTCAGGTTTGCTTAAAAACTTCGAAATTGCTTCAAAAAGCAAATCTTTCTGAAGATTACGAACATTCCGAGGATTCCGACGGTACCTACCCATGCCTATTAATTACAATAAAACCAAAATCATAGCTTTCGCTAAAAGACCCAGGAGTTACTCTTGGCGCATAGACGGTCATAAAATTGAACAAGTCACATGCTTCAAATATTTAGGTGTAGTCCTTCAGTTTAACCGTAGCAGAAGAGGTCATGGAGATCAAGTACCCAGCACCATGCAGAGGAGCTCAATTGCCATTCTTAAATATCTTAAGTCAAGAGGGGGCCACTTTACACCGGCAGTGCTCAAACTGTTTGAAGCTAAGTCATTAGCCCAATTCTTGTATGGGGCTCAGCTGGGCCCCTTCCCCAGTTTTGCCCCATTACAGCTGGTTCAGTCAAAGTTTCTGAGATCGACCTTACAGGTACCTGAATGCCACCCTGCGACTACAGACGGGCTTTATAAGGGTTGAGGCCAGGGTGTGAGTGGCCATACTCAACCTCTGGCTCAGACTATCCCGTGCATCCTTGGTCTTGGCCCCACTAACCATGGAGGATGACTTGGAAGCAGGCGGTAGCATCCAAAATCTCCTCATTGGGATTTCCTCCAGGTCTACTATTTGCTATGGATTACAATAAAGCCAAAGCACTTATTAAACAACGTATCACAGACACAGATTGTCAACTAGATCTGGCCTCTGTTCTATTCTTCCTTATCAACAAAAACAGCAGATATCTTGCCTCCCCTATGGTACATTTAACCAACTTAGAGGTTCCTATTCATCGAAGGGCTTTCACCCTGGCTCGATGCCACGCTCTCCCATCAGCTGAACTCAAAGACCACTACCGGAAGATCCCTTTCCCTGAGAGACTCTGCCCCTGTGGCTCGGGTCATGTAGAAACAATAGAGTATGTGCTCCTTCAGTGCCCGTTCTACAGGGATATCCATGCCAGGCTTATCTTACCTCTGATATACAAGCACCCAGGCCATTAAGGACAATTTTATACCTCCCTCTACTTGTAGATACTAATTCAGCTCCAACCTAAAATGTTGCAAAGTTCTGTGGAGCAGCATACAAAATCCGTCAGGGGATGACTAGTCCCAAAAGTTAACTGTGTGTCCAGTAACTATCTTCCCTGAATCTATAATTTGCTGATGGACCTGTGCATTGTATGTTTTTACCCTGTTTCCCCTTCCGCTCCCTCACCCCTATTGTGCTTCAGTATTTATATTTATATTTTTAATGTACTAAACGTACCAAATTTGTATGAAACTGTGACTTCTATTTGCTGTGCTTGTCTGTGACCGAAATAAATGACTTGATTGATAGCATCCTGGAGACATGTATGGTTTCCTTCTTCTTGGCCAAAAATAGGTTTTTCTGAATGTTCCCCTTGCATAAAATGTTTACTATTTCATGTTACAGTTGCGGGATAATCATACATGCAATATACTAATACTTCAGCATGATTCAGGGGAAAAACTGATTCAGGAAGATCCTCCACTTTGTTCTAGTAAAGGTTGTTTCTTTCCAATTTTCGGACATGCGGTTCTGAGATGTTTGTATTATTTTGTAATAAAACTTGGACTGAAACTTATTCCTGACCCCAATACATTGCGGCATAAAAATTTGCCTTTTTGCCAGTGTTGATGTTGCTTCAAATTCCCAAAAGGACAAACAAAAGTAATATATTTTAATTTTTACATATTTACATATTCACACATGTTCTCATTCATGTTTTGCTGTCATCAAAAGAACCTTTCTTGTGGATGAGAACATTTATGAATGGATTGTTGTAGGTTTTTTCGGGCGATATGGCCATGGTCTAGAGCAGTGTTTCTCAACCTGGGGGTCATGAGGGGGTGTCAGAGGGGTTGCCAAAGACCATAAGAAAACACAGTATTTTCTGATGGTCATGGAGATTCCATGTGGGAAGTTTGAGCCAATTTTATTGTTGGTGGAGTTCAGAATGTTCTTTTATTGTAATGAACTATACATCCCAGCAACTACAACTCCCAAATGTCAAGATCTATTTTCCCCAGACTCCACCAGTGTTCACATTTGGGCATATTGAGTATTCGTGCCAAGTTTGGTCCAGATCCACCATTGCATCCACAGTGCTCTCTGGATATTGGTGAACTACAAACTCAAGATCAATGCCCATCAAACCCTTCCAGTGTTTTCCATTGGTCATGGGAACCAAGTTTGGTTCAAATCCATCGCTGGTGGAGTTCAGAATGCTCTTTGATTATAAGTGAACTATAAATCTCAGCAACTACAACTCCCAAATTACAAAATCAATCCTTCCCAACCCCACTAACATTCACATTTGGGTGTATTGGGTATTTGTGCCCGGTTTGTTCCAGTGAATGAAAATGCATCCTGCATTATGATTTATAACAGTAGTAAAATGACTGTTATGAAGTAGTAACAAAAACAATATTATGGTTTGGGGGTCACCACAACATGAGGGATTGTATTAAGGGGTCACGGCATTAGGAAGCTTGAGAACCACTGGTCTAGAAGCATTCTCTCCTGACTTTTCACCTGCATCTATGGCAAGCATCCTCACTACCTCTGAGGATGCTTGCCATAGATGCAGGCGAAACGTCAGGAGAGAATGCCTCTAAACCATGGCCATATAGCCCGAAAAAACCTACAACAACCCAGTGATTCCGGCCATGAAAGCCTTTGACAATACATTTATGAATATTTGTGACATTCCCATTGGGCATTCCAACTTTCTCACACTATCACGTGTTTCAAAAGGCTGGATTGGCACTCGCCCCTTAAGAAGGTATGCAAAGCAACCTTGCAGGAGCTCTGAGACTAACTGAAAGACATTGGCAGCAGAAGCTTTTGTAGACTGAAGTCTACTTGTTGAAAGCTGATGCTATCAACTTCTTTCTTTCAGTTAGTCTCAAGGGTGCTACGAGATTCATTTACTTACTGATCCAAAAGTAACACAGCTTCAAATTGTGTCCTTGAGGAAGGGTCAGACAGTCTGTCTGAGAATATCAGCCTCTATGTTCCAGAGAAGCTAATACTCAGAGGCACAGTTATGCTCAGTAGTTATTAGTCTCCCGCACTTCATGAATTGGTCCTCCACAAATTGTCTTATTCATGCATTTTTCAAACTGTCTCATACCACATGAATGAATAAGGCTCCTTTTAGGAAGAAGCACAGCACAGGTATGTAGGTGAGAATCCAGCCCTGGAAAAACCTGTGTTAAGACACTTCCGTGACAAATAGCCAACACCCAGGCAATAGTACCAACATGACAAATTGTCTTGTGGCATCTTAAGACAACTAACTGTTTTACAATAACAAAGTTGCTTTGAACCTACGGATGGGGGAGGACTTTCATCTAGTCTACGCAAGTTGATAGTACAAAAAGTTGGTAAACCTTCAAATTGCCACAGAAGTATTTGCTCTGGAAGCTTTGGTGTTCACACCTGTAGACAGGAAGGGACTATGAGGTGAGGTGAACAAACCCTTCACAAAATTAGTCACTAGCTTCTTTTGGAAATATTGTTGAGTGAAAAAAATGACTTACCCAGAAAGCACTCCCAGGACGAGGTTGAGAACGAAGAATGATCCAATGATGATGAGTGGGATGAAGTACAGCCAGTTCCAGGTGGCTCCTAAGGCATCATTGGTCTGAAAGAAGAAGCCCCCAGCAATAACAGTTAAGTAAAACTGCAACACATTTGCCTTGGCATAAATACTAATGTTCGAACTACAGTATATTTCCAGGTGTATAGCACTGTTTGTGGGAATTATTTGCTGCTCCACTCTTGCCTATCTGTGCATAAAAGTGAACAAAGCTAAATAATAATAATAATAATAATAATAATAATAATCCTTTATTTATACCCCGCTACCATCTCCCGAAGGACTCGGTGCGGCTTACAAGAGGCCGAGCCCAAGTACATCAGTAAAAACAACAACAACAGCAATACAGACAATAAATAAACTCATAAACAAACCAATAAACAGTAACAATAACACCACAACACATTAAAAACCTATGGCAGGGCCAAATGTAATAATTAGAATTTTAAAAATGCAGGGCATGGCTAGGTGACATATAACTAGGATAGATATTTGGAGAAAGATGAAGCAAGCAGACAATCTAGATCATTAGTAAAGTGCGATTAGGGACATGTTGCTTAGGGTTTCCTTATTCTGGGAGGGCACACTGGAACAACCACGTTTTCAGGCTCCTCTTAAAGACTGCCAGAGTTGGGGCATGCCTAATGTCCTTGGGCAGCAAGTTCCAGAGTTGAGGGGCCACCACCAAGAAGGCCCTGTCCCTCATCCCCACCAATCGCACTTGCAATGGAGGTGGGATCGCGAGTAGGGCCTCTCCAGATGAACGAAGAGATCGTTTAGGTTTGTACACAGAGATCTCTTCAAAGAACACAAACAATCCCTTTAAAAAAAGAACCCATACTGGAAGAACCAAAAGAGCATTGAGGTACTTTAGAAGTCTGTGCTAAATAGAATTGCACCAGGACTGTGGCGCAGCTGGCTGGGAGTCAGCTGCAGTAAGATCACTACTGACCAAAAGGCCATGAGTTCGAAGCTAGCCCGGGTCGGAGTGAGCTTCCGACCAATTTGTGTAGCTTGCTGTCGACCTTTGCAGCCTGAAAGACAGTTGCATCTGTCAAGTAGGAATTTAGGTACCACTTATGTGGGGAGGCTAATTTACGGCACCATAAAAATCTCCAGCAAGCATGCAAAGAATAAGGAAGTACCTTTGCAGCCCGAAAGACAGTTGCATCTGTCAAGTAGGAAATTTAGGTACCGCTTATGCGGGGAGGCTAATTTACGGCACCATAAAAATCTCCAGCAAGCATGCAAAGAATGAGGAAGTACCTTTGCAGCCCGAAAGACAGTTGCATCTCTCAAGTAGGAAATTTAGGTACCGCTTATGCGGGGAGGCTAATTTACGATGCCATAAAAATCTCCAGCAAGCATGCAAAGAATGAGGAAGTACCTTTGCAGCCTGAAAGACAGTTGCATCTGTCAAGTAGGAAATTTAGGTACTGCTTATGCGGGGAGGCTAATTTACGATGCCATAAAAATCTCCAGCAAGGATGCAAAGAATGAGGAAGTACTTCATCAGTGTCACAAATGGACGGCAAAGTAACAGCTCCCCTGGTGGCCAGAATACCCTCACGAAAAAGCTGGAATGTTAAATAGCCTCTGTGTGTCTGTCTAAATATATTGTGTGTCTATGGCATTGAATGTTTGCCGTGTATATGTACATTGTAATCTGTCCTGAGTCCCCTGCAGGGTGAGAAGGGTATAAATACTGTAATAAATATTATTAGTATTAGTATTCAATAGGTCATATTAAAATACAATGTACACAATCCAGTTAAAACAGTTTAAAATAACATATACACTCAATATTGAAACAACCAATACATGATTTAAAATTCATGACTACAAAATCATAATGTACAAAGCATCTATATAGGTCTGGCAGAAAAGACAGGTCTTTAGTACTGTTTTAAATTCAGGCAGTGTATTGAGCTCTCAAACCTCTTTTGGCATGTCATCCCCCAATCAAGGGGTGGCTGAAGAAAAAGTCCTCTAGATGACCATTGCCAACTGGGTCGACTGGAGTAAATACCCCTCAGAGAACCTGAGTTTATGGAGCAGACTATATGGGAGGTGGCAATCTCATAGCTAACCTAGACCCAAACCATGTAGGGCTTTAAAGTTAGTAACTAACACACTTTGAACTTTGCACCAAAACTAGTTGGCTATCAGTGGACTTATATCAATAAAGGTGTAATATAATCACTACTAGATATACTTACATTGCTAAAAATGGGAGGATTTGAGATCATGACAATATATGGGAGGTTTATGACTTTTTGACGATGGGCTATTTCATTTGTCTTCTCCGCTTTACACTTTTTGCAAGGCCCAATACAATATTAATAGTATCACTGTTGACTATGTGTTGCAAATCTCTTGGGAAGACAAACGGACAAATGTCAGTGTACTAGAAGAAGCAAAGACCACCAGCATTGAAGCGATGTCCTCCGCCATCCACTCCGCCGGATGCCCGACCACCGTCTCCCAAAGTAGTTGCTCTACTCTGAACTCAAGAACGGGAAACAAAATGTTGGTGGGTAGGAAAAGAGATTTAAAGATGGGCTCAAAGCCAACCTTAAAAACTCTGGCATAGACACTGAGAACTGGGAAGCCCTGGCCCTTGAGCGCTCCAGCTGGAGGTCAGCTGTGACTAGCAGTGCTGTAGAATTTGAAGAGGCATGAATGGAGGGCGAAAGAGAGAAGTGTGCCAAGAGGAAGGCGCATCAAACCAACCCTGACCAAGACAGTCTTCCACCTGGAAACCAATGCCCTGACTGTGGGAGAAGATGCAGATCAAGAATTCAAAGTGCTGGCGTTAGCCTATAAAGCCCTAAATGGTTCTGGCCCTACTTACCTCTCCGAACGCATCTCCACCTATGAACTGACCAGGACATTAGGATCGTCTGGGGAGGCCCTGCTCTCGGTCCCGCCTGCATCACAGGCGCGCCTGGCGGGGACGAGAGACAGGGCCTTCTCGGTGGTGGCCCCTTGGCTGTGGAATGCCCTACCTGCAGACATCAGACAGGCTCCTTCGCTGTTGGTGTTTCGGAGGAAGGTGAAGACCTGGCTTTTCGAACAAGCGTTTGGCTAAACAGTGCAATTGAATATAGGAACACGGTGAAATCGAACATAGGAATATGGAACAAAGGATTACGAGAATGGATTCTGATTTGTTGTTGAGGCGCTATGATAATGATTGTTTATTGATATTGACTGTTATGTATAATGTATAATGTGTTTTAATTTGCCTATGATACTGTCTTGTGATAATTTGTACTATGTAAACCGTTTTGAGTCACCTAAGGACTGAGAAAAGCGGTATAGAAATGAAGTAAATAAATAAATAAATAGGGCTCCACAGTCACCTACGGACCCACTGCCAGTACACTGATCTTGGAAGACTATCCTACTCAGACAACGAGGGATCACCTAAGTATGTAAGTAAGTAAGTAAGTAAGTAATTAAGTAAGTAAACTATTTACCAAATTGCATTAATTCATTGTACTGTCACCGCTGGGCCTGTATCTGGTTGGTTTTGTAATAGGATGTGTAACCTTTGCCCAGCGGGAAGTCAGGGGGCCAAGGAAAAGTTCTCAGGGGCTTCCTCTACAAAAGAATCTTCAAATGGCTTGAGCAATACAACAAAGTCTTTTATTAATGAAATCAAACAGGAACTACAAGGCTTTCTTGATAGTCTATTTGTTCTCTCAATCTTGTTCACAGGGGACAGGCACTATCTTCAATAACTTTTCTTTAAAGGAAAATTCCCCTTTTTAACTTCTCCCAGGCTGACTAAAATCCAACCCTCGCTGATGCTACCGGGCCGAACTGCTTCTCAGACACCGAGTGGACCTACCAGCAAGGCAGTGGATGTTCTCCAACTGGAGATCTTTAGTCTTTAAGGCTGTTTTCCTGGAGTTCTTAAAGCTGTTCTCCCCTGGATTGCTTAGGGCTGTGGGAATGCTTCCCTGGAGTTCTTTCCCTGGAGATTCTTAAAGGTTGAAGCCTTTGTACAGGGGAAGTTACACACATCCTATACTGAGACTAACTAACAAAATGGCTCACTTCCCTCCAAAGCCCAAAAAGGGGGCGGGACTAGGGAACCTAATAATAATTGACAAGCAATTGACCCAATAACTGCAAAGTAAGGAAAGCCCTCTAACTGAAAAGGCACAGAACTTTAAAATACATGCAGCAATCAACAAATAGCAAGATAAGCTGGAGCTCCTGGTGCGGTTGTCCCAGAACATTCATCCTAGTTGAAATTCAGAGGAACAGAAGGGAAGCTACCTGAGGGCTCTTCTACACTGCCATATACACAGAATATCAAGTAAGATAATCTACATTATCTGTTTTGAACTGGATTATTTGAGTCTACACTGCCATATAATCCAGTTCAAAGCAGCTAATCTGGATTTTATAAAGCTGTATAGAAGGGGACTAAGACATCAGAGCAAGAGATGCACCATTTAAAGGTAAGATTGCTCCAGACTCTAACATGGTTATTCATTGCCTTTTAATAAGGCTCTGCCCTCCAACTCTTCTTTCATACTTCTTCCAGACCTCTTTTGTCCTCTTGGCAAGTTGCCCTACCCATGACGTTGGCCAGTACAGTGATGCAGCAGAACGTGACTGTCTGAGGGATACAGAATCAATCCTCTTGGAATGAACAGTTCTTCTTTCTGTGCTTTCTTTAACATTAATTAAACCCTCGTCTTTATCTGACTCATCAGTACCACATTTCCAAATACATCAAACCTCTTTAAAGGAACAATCTCCAAAGATAAGCATGGTAAAAATATTATTTTTAAAGTAGCTAGAACCCTTGGTTTGTGGTATTATTTATGCTACTTTGCAATTTCCCATTCATTCCAGCTGGCCTCTTCCATGTTTCTGGCCAACATCTAAGTGTTGCCAGTCTGTATGTTGCCCTGAGTCACCTTCGGGCTAAAAAGGACGGGATAAAAGTGTGGCAAATAAATAAATAAGGGAACAAACTTGGCAAAGGTGAGGAACTAACCAGCGCCTATCTTATATCCAGGCTG